GTGTCAGGAAGTTGAAGACACAATCAGTGCATTAATGTGTGGGATTGTTAGCCTCTACATCCAAAAATCGTATTGTAGAATGGATATACAATCCACTTAAACATTCCCAGAGTACCTGTTAATACCAGGAATTAGAAATCTCCCTTACGAAGAGAGGTTATTAAAGCTTAAATCGCATTTTTAGACATTAGAAAGTGTTAAGATATATACAATGAACGTATATATAAATATACATTAGAGATAGTATATACATATTAAGGTATATACATTGATACAAATAGCGTACTCAGTTTTCAACTCATATTAGGACGCATATCGAATGGCTTCAGCCCGTTAATATCGTCGTGGATGACCTAATGGTTTGAGTTAGGTCATCCCGTCATCCCCAGGCGAGCCAGCGGGAGTCATCCTTGAATGGGCAATAATGCAAAAATTATGTAATCGGTGTGTGGGATATTAATAGGCTTTTATGTACTCTTATGAGAGAGTGAGTGTGTGTAGGTGTGGGTGGTTGTGCTCTCTTGTTATCTCTCTCTTTATATCTGTCTATCTCTTTATTTATCTTCATCTCTCTCTCTCTCTCTCTCTCTCTCTCTCTCTCTCTCTCTCTCTCTCTCTCTCTCTCTCTCTCTCTCTCTCTCTCTCTCTCTCTCTCTCTCTGGCTCTCTCTCTCTGGCTCTCTCTCTCTCACTCTCTCATTATCTCTCTCGCTCTCTTGCTTTCTCTCTCTCGCTCTGTCTCTTTCTTGCTCTCTCTCTCTCTCTCTCTCTCTCTCTCTCTCTCTCTCTCTCTCTCTCTCTCCTCTCTCTCTCTCTCTCTCTCTCTCTCTCTCTCTCTGAGCACACGGATGGCAAATAATTAGGATGGAGAGAGGTAATGGGAAGGAGAAGAGGGTAGAGGGAGAGGGGAAGAGAGTTGAGGCTGTATGGGAAAGATACAGATAGGAAAGGATTAAAGAAAGGGAAGGGAACTATGAGGAGAAAGCGCCAAGCCATTACGACTATATAGCACTGGGAAGGGGTCAGGATAAGGATTAGGGATGGGACGGAGGGGAAGGAATGGTGGCCAACCACTTGTGGACGGTCGGGGGATTGAACGCCGACCTGCATGACGCGAGACCGTCGCCCTACTGTCCAGCCCAAGTGGTTGGAGGGATAGGCACGGATAGTAAACTAGGAAAGGAGAGTATTAAAGTATAAAAGGGGGGGTAGGGGGGTCTTGTAAGGAAGGAATAGCACCGAGAGAGAAACGGGATGGAAGGAAAGGGAGAAGGATAGATAGGGATAGAGAAAGGATGGAAGGGGAGAAGGGCTGGGAAAGGATCCCCTCCCATGAACTGATGAGAGAGATGATCTGGGAGAGGAAAATGACCTTAGAGACGATAATAGCTAAGATGGGCGGTGAGATGGGACCCTTACCGACCCAAATGGTCTAAGAGCTGGGATCGAGGGAGTGGAATTCTGGGATACGAGAAAAGGCTGGGATTAAAGCCCCATCCCAGGGATGGGACGTGGGTGGGGGAGGGAGCAGGAGCAAGGGTCAGGGGGGGGGGTCTATACCTCTCATATACATCAGCCAAAATACAGTAATTACCTGTATTAAGATGAAAGTAAATACAGTACACGTCTCCAATTTATTTATCGTCAAAATTTATAACATGTTCCGGTCAATATATTCACTTATATAAATAATAAACAAACACTTATTTTCTTATGGATATATTTTCATAAAAAAAATTAAAATGTCGTTAAATCTGACATAATTTTAACACTCAAATATAATCAAAACTGTGAGAAAATACTTTTTGTATTTTTTTTGTAAATTAATTTAATCTGAATGATGTAAATTATGTAATCAATTGTAAATTTGGTAAATGGATAGTAGCATTTTTACTTATTTGTTTTAACCTTGTTTAATAGATTGCATCCTTTCTATGTATCAATTATAAATTTGGTAAATAGATTATAACCTTCCTATATATCAATTCTAAAATGAATAAATTAATTGTACCATTCAATACAGTAAAGAGGTTAGCTTAGCATTTTAAAAGCACCGAATCACCTTCTGTGGTTGAGTGTTCAATAAACCCCTGAACTGTATGTTTAACACATCGCTAACCCTGTCCATGGAGGACAGAAGAAAATGTATATATGCTGGTTAGCATTGTAAATGTCTGGCCACGTCTGTGGTAGAAAATAATAAAAAAAAAAAAATACAGTAAAGAACTCTATTTCTATTCAAAAAGTCTGTTTAAACGCAGAATAAAAGCTTTCTCTTGTTTATCTCGTCAAAGTCTCAAGAAACAAGTCTTGTTGAAGTCTCGTGAAAAAAAAAAAATCAAGATTCATACCTTTTAATATCTATGTTAAGTGGGAAGAGCTGGCCAGGAAAGGTCAGAGAAGATGTGGCAACAGTGGAACTATAAACGTCAGACCCAAACACCCGCGGCGCCACGACACCTTGCCTGATAGGCGTTCCGATGCCATAAATAAAGGTTTTAGATGCGGATTTCGATCCTTTTAGTGTTGAGAAGTTGGGTGGAAAGGCTGATTTGTGGAACCTCTAGTTGAAGTTGCGTGGAATCTGTACATTCATACCGCAACGCCTTAAATAATGAGAGTTTAGGGTCAGTTAAGATGGTCTTGATAAGGCCAAACCTGCTTCGTAAATCTAGTTGTTTAATTCTCCTTGGAATATACATTTTTTTCCAAGTGACTTTCTTCGGTTTATATATAATTTTTTATGTATTTTGTGATTAGAGGTTAAATGAATGTGTAGAAACGTGTGTAGTTAGATCATATATGTGCGTACATGTCATTAAATGAGGCAAGGCTGAGTTATTGTGTATGTGGTGGACACAATCAGTATGTGGTGCGGCTACAGTCAGTATGTTGTATATGTGGTGGTGCTACAATCATCACCCATCACCTAAGATGGTGCCACAATCATCACCCATCACCTAAGATGGTGTCACAATCATCACCCATCACCTAAGATGGTGCTACAATCATCACATAAGATGGTGCCACAATCATCACCCATCACATAAGATGGTGCCACAATCATCACCCATCACATAAGATGGTGCCAGAATCATCACCCATCACCTAAGATGGTGTCACAATCATCACCTAAGATGGTGCCACAATCATCACCCATCACCTAAGATGGTGCCACAATCATCACCCATCACCTAAGATGGTGCCACAATCATCACCCATCACCTAAGATGGTGCCACAATCATCACCCATCACCTAAGATGGTGTCACAATCATCACCTAAGATGGTGCCACAATCATCACCCATCACCTAAGATGGTGCCACAATCATCACCCATCACCTAAGATGGTGTCACAATCATCACCCATCACCTAAGATGGTGTCACAATCATCACCTAAGATGGTGCCACAATCATCACCCATCACCTAAGATGGTGCCACAATCATCACCCATCACCTAAGATGGTGCCACAATCATCACCCATCACCTAAGATGGTGTCACAATCATCACCTAAGATGGTGCCACAATCATCACCCATCACCTAAGATGGTGCCACAATCATCACCCATCACCTAAGATGGTGTCACAATCATCACCCATCACCTAAGATGGTGTCACAATCATCACCTAAGATGGTGCCACAATCATCACCCATCACCTAAGATGGTGTCACAATCATCACCCATCACCTAAGATGGTGTCACAATCATCACCCATCACCTAAGATGGTGCCACAATCATCACCCATCACCTAAGATGGTGCCACAATCATCACCCATCACCTAAGATGGTGTCACAATCATCACCTAAGATGGTGCCACAATCATCACCCATCACCTAAGATGGTGCCACAATCATCACCCATCACCTAAGATGGTGTCACAATCATCACCTAAGATGGTGCCACAATCATCACCCATCACCTAAGATGGTGCCACAATCATCACCCATCACCTAAGATGGTGTCACAATCATCACCCATCACCTAAGATGGTGTCACAATCATCACCCATCACCTAAGATGGTGTCACAATCATCACCCATCACCTAAGATGGTGCCACAATCATCACCCATCACCTAAGATGGTGTCACAATCATCACCCATCACCTAAGATGGTGTCACAATCACCACCCATCACCTAAGATGGTGCCACAATCATCACCCATCACCTAAGATGGTGCCACAATCATCACCCATCACCTAAGATGGTGCCACAATCATCACCCATCACCTAAGATGGTGCCACAATCATCACCCATCACCTAAGATGGTGCTACAATCATCACCCATCACCTAAGATGGTGTCACAATCATCACCTAAGATGGTGTCACAATCATCACCCATCACCTAAGATGGTGTCACAATCATCACCCATCACCTAAGATGGTGCCACAATCATCACCCATCACCTAAGATGGTGTCACAATCATCACCCATCACCTAAGATGGTGCCACAATCATCACCCATCACCTAAGATGGTGCCACAATCATCACCCATCACCTAAGATGGTGCCACAATCATCACCCATCACCTAAGATGGTGCTACAATCATCACCCATCACCTAAGATGGTGTCACAATCATCACCTAAGATGGCGTCACAATCATCACCCATCACCTAAGATGGTGTCACAATCATCACCCATCACCTAAGATGGTGTCACAATCATCACCCATCACCTAAGATGGTGCACACAATCATCACCCATCTGGGTACACTGTGTCGACCAAGTTACTGACTGTAAACCAAAGTAGATTGGATCAATCCACTGATGTCTATTCTGTAAATCAACCCTCGAACCATCGACCCAAAACAGCTATTGTTCCCGTCGGTACTGATTGGCTCCGTTCACTTGGTGATTGTTTATATTGGTCTGTTGTGGTCGTTATATCAAGGTCATTGTTCTGTAGGGGTTGCTGGACCCGGGTCCTTGTTCTGTAATTATTGCTGTAACAAGGTCACTGTTGTGTCGTGGGGATGTAGTCTGTTGATCTAATGCGTCGGCCTGTCGGGCGTCGGCCTGTTGTGCGTCGGCCTGTCGTGTGTCGGCCTGCCGGGCGTCGGCCTGTCGTGCGTCGGCCTGTCGGGCGTCGGCGTGTCGTACGTCGGCGTGTCGTACGTCGGCCTGTCGTGTGTCGGCCTGTCGTGTGTCGGCCTGTCGTACGTCGGCGTGTCGTACGTCGGCCTGTCGTGCTTCGACCTGCCGGGCGTCGGCCTGTCGTGCGTCGGGCGTCGGCCTGTCGTGCGTCGGTCTGTCGTGCTTCGACCTGTCGTGCGTCGGCCTGTCACCCGTCGACCCAATGCGTCGACAGGGAAGAAGATAGACATCCCTTGGATGTCACGGGACCCCGTCGTGAGATTACCAGTGTCTAAGGGCGGTCTTGGGACACCATGGGACATCCCAGCTGTGACTGTGGCATGACACACCCGCCCCTGACACTATCCAGGTGTGTGTGTCACCCTCCCGTGACACTTGCCAGGTGTGTGTGTCATCATCTCCTTGACTCACATCTCTGATATGATATCATCTCGTCGTGCCAGCATCAATGAGCAGCATCCACAGTTATCTCTCCCAAAATCTGCTCTCAAGGCGAATTTTTCATCACAATGAAAACGTTCTTACGAAACGTTGTTTGCAAGACGTATTACGTTCCTGGTGACGTTTATTGCTAGACTCCCTGGGTTAACCTTTGCTTATATGATCAATAATCAATCTATTCGATCTATTCGCTGCTTATCACACAAGCAGAGATCACAATAACATGTTTACAAATCACCCAAAGGTACGAGTTGGGTTATTTGCAGATCCACAAGAGACGAGCGTGGCTACATCTGTCCACCCATACCTACCAAATGGGGAGAAAATTGGCAAATGCGCCTTTGGCCTCTATCACAGCCTGTACAATGCTTGAGAATGTCTATGGAGCGGCGGTAGCTTGGACAAGCATAGCCTGACGATCGTTGGAGGAAGTAACATATATATATCTATATATATACATATATTGTTACATATAACCGCACTGCTGACTCTGTGTAAACCAGCAGTATAATCTTATAGTGTGAGCTTTCTATGCCTCTATTTTCTTAGTATCAGTGTTGACCAAGGAAGATTTCCAGTCTTCCCTGGAAACACAAACCGAAACTATCTCTATTTTTCGCTTGTTACAACTTGTAATAAAGTTGTTACATCTTGGCTTAACGTGTTTACGACGTATTAGAACGTTGTTACAACTTGCTATATTGGTTGTTATAACTGGTTAGGTGGTGTTAAAACTTGTTCGAACGTTGTACCAACGTCGTAGTTTCGGTGTGTGTTTGGTGGGTTGTTTGGTCAGTAGTAGGTTCCAGGGTTTGTTTATTTCCCAGTAGCCTGTTTCTTGTGAGTGTCGTGTTGTGTACACGTTGTGTAAGGAGCACCAGCTGGTTATCTTGAGATGATTTCGGGGCTTTAGTGTTCCCGCGGCCCGGTCCTCGACCAGGCCTCCACCCCCTGGAAGCAGCCCGTGACAGCTGACTAATACCCAGGTATCTATTTTACTGCTAGGTAACAGGGGTATAGGGTGAAAAAAACTCTGCCTATTGTTTCTCGCCGGCGCCTGGGATCGAACTCAGAGCCACAGGATCACAAGTCCAGCGTGCTGTCTGTTCGGCCGACCGGCTCCCCGAATATATCCTGGTGGATATACTGTCTGAGTGACTGGTGGACTGACCAGCTGGTCAGTCTTCTCGAGAGCTTTGTGGTGGTCAGATTAATATAAGTTGAGCGAAGGTCACAGCCTTAATTGGGACATATAAATTGGTATACCACATTTGTTTTTGTTTTTTGGGGCTGTTCTTGAGTATTAAGTCATTTAATACCCAAGAATGTTAAGTGTACATAATACAACACTCACTAGGAACATGTTAGAAGATAATGCAACAATCCTGGACTCTACCACTGACCAAAGAAGATTGCAAATCCTGGAAGTTATAATTATAAGAGAAAAAAGACCCACTGTAAGTATACAGAATAATGACTTGGCTACCTTGCCGACACTCAGACCCAGACCTCACCAAACATCACCGGATAACATTTCTACCAAGCTCTTCCTGCCCACTGGAGATTTATCCATTCTCTTACCCAATGTTTGATTGACCTTACCCCATTTGATCGGTCCTACCCCCATTTCTTTCCTTATGTTAAGTGGCCCATTCCCCTTACTCTATGTGTGAGTGCCCCTTCACCTCATCCTCACACTCCTTCGACTCCCACAAGTGGATTTAACGCAAAAGTGAACATCAGGAATTCATACTTTACCTGAAGATGTTCCAGAGAAGAACGCAACGTCGTAGAAAATATATCTTTCAATAATTGCTACAGTTGAACAAATCCACAAGGGCCGTGACGAGGATTCGAACCTGCGTCCGGGAGCCTCCCAGACACTGCCTTAATCGACTGAGCTACGACAGGGTTAAAAGAGTTGAACGCAGGTTCGAATCCTCGTCACGGCCCTTGTGGATTTGTTCATTTGATGCATCACGTTAGTGTGATCTCTGTGTGTAATTACTACAGTTTCTTTACCATGATTTTTGGCAACTTTATTGATCTTCTTAATAATGACACTAAGAAAATAGAGGCGTAGAAAATTTACACTATAACATCAACAGTATACAGTAAAGTTTACATATAGTCACCCCTGAAGAAGTAAACAACAACACCAAATCAATCCCCCCCTCTTCTCCCCCTCCCAAAAAAAGCAAAAACATTAAAAAAAAAAGCATGTGTGGGTTAAACAATGCATCTCGCCACATTAATGTTTACAAAACAGCTTTCCCTTTCCTTCGTGTTTATCCTGCTGCCTCCTCCCCCACGTCAAGGATGATGGAGGGCGCTGTACCCCTCCCACACCACAGTGGCCTTCGTCAAGGAGCTTAGTGTCACCCACCTGCCTGATACCCATCTTGAAGACCACGAGGGGAAAGTGTGACTTGAGCGTTGCATCTTGCAAGGTGTCTGCACCACCAGGGTGGCCTGGGCGTCTTGGAGAGCGCCCCCTGATGGTCCCTGCTGCCTCGCCTGCTAGGCTCAGGAGCCCCTAGAGTGATCTCTTGTTTGATTGATCACTTGCTGGATTGATCGATGGGTTTGATTGGTCGCTTGTTAGCTTCATTGCTAGAGTCCTTTGCTAGCTTAATCACGTGCTAGATTCATTGCTTGCTAATTTCAGCGCTTGCTAGCTCTATCGTTTGCTAGCTTGAGCTCTTGATTGCTTGCTACCTTGATTGTTTTCTAGCTTCGTCGCTAGAGGCCTTTGACTGTTTACTAGCTCGATGGCTTGCTAGCCTAATCGCTAGAATAAATATTTATGCTTTGAGCCAAAAAATCATCACAGAAATGTACAGTGATATCATATAGCGAGAGATATCTGAGAAACCCGTTTAGAAAAGTGATGAAATACCATAAGGAAGGCGGCACTTAAGGCGAGCCTCGACTAGGACCAGAATATAATGAGACCAAGAGGACCAAGAGCGGATAATGAGTCTATAATGACACTATACGAGGGGTAGAAAGTGTGCTAGAGGCTGGGACGAGTGAGAGATGGAGAGGCATGCAAAAGTCTGAAGATGCAAAAGAGTAAAAGATAAGCTTGAGAGACAAGGTGATAAGGCCAAGAAGGAGTGAGCATGGCTGTAGTATGAGAGTGATAGGTGACCCGGGGTGACTAGGAGCTGTGATGGGGGGTGGGAGGTGAGACACAGGAGAGTGCACGTAGCAGCTCTGGAGAGATGTAACTCATCCTGTCATAATATCTCCCCGCCCCATCACATAACAATGGCCTCTCCTGCATCCAGACTGCGGACACATCCAGTTGTCTCTAAGGTCTCTTGGAAGGATGCTCGGTGCTGGCTCAGTCGGTTTGGCATTTATGAATAAATAGGTGTATAGATAGGTATATAGATGGACGTTTGTCTCCTTCCTATCTCTACTCCACCTTTCTCTGTAACAGCTTATCAGTACTCCCTTCTCATCTCACCTTTTTCATCTATTTCTCCCTCTCCACTTCTTGAAATCTCTCCCCATCTCTCGCCTCTTCTCCAATCTCTCCATCTCAAATTTTCTCCCCCCCTCTCCCCCCTTCTTTTCCCGTCTCCTCCTCTTCCCCCTTCTCTTACCGTCTTCTCCTCTTCCCTCTTCTCTCTCCGTTTCCCCCGTGTCTCTCACTCTCAGAAAATGTAGTATTACGAAGCACTGAAACTTTCAAACATCGTTACATAAAACACCCGCTATTTCAGACTTGATAAACATCTGAAGCGGAAAAGGGGGGCTTTCTATCCTGATATTTCTTATAGAATGGTACTGGGTGCAACCTCATCTGGCCTATGACACTCCCAAACCCCCCCATGTGTCATTTTGGAAAGTTGAGTGAAGCTTGCCTTAAGCATCTGGCTTCCAATAATGGAGACACTGACGGACAGATATACTCTTTCATAGCTATAGATGTGTGTAAATCACGGACAAAATTAACACACGATAACTGGATATAGATCCAGATAGACTCGGTCAACCCAATCATCTCTTTCCTATAGTATATCTGTGGCTCTATCATAAAAACTGAGTAGATTTCTTACACAGGATCTTCCTGTTCGAAAACCATATTGTCTGTCCGGTATTATGTCATTACTCTCTAGGTGTTCAACCCATTTGGCTTTAACTATTGTTTCTAGTGTTTTGACTCCCTCGCTTGTTAATGACACGGGTCTATAATTATGAGGTTCCTCTCGACTACCATTTTTATAGATTGGTACCATGTTTGCCTTTTTCCATATATCTGCTAAGATTCCTGTGCACAAGGATGTCTGGCGTAGTAATTGGGAGTGGAATGCTCAGCTCAGTTGCACATTCTCGCAGCACCCAAGGTGAAGCTCTATCTGGTCCAACTGCTTTATTTCTTTATTTCTATGGCGTATTCTAGAATTGGTATTTAGTCTGGCTCTCTGAAATCCTCATTTTTGTACAAATACACTTTGGAACTGTTCATTTAGCATTTCACACATTTGTTTTTCATTCTCAGTACTTTTGTTTCCTGTTCTGAATCTCAGCATTTTATCATTTTCATGCAGCTTGCTTTTAATTAATTTATAAAAAAGGCCTGGATCTGTTTTACATTCTGTTTACCTTTCTCAAAGTTCCTCCTGCCTCTCTCCTCACTGTTGTGTAATTGTTTCTTGCTTGTATTGCTGGTATGTTTGTGGGTTAGGCCTCTTCCGATATTGAACCCATTTTCTTGTTTTTTTCCTCTCTGTCCCTCTCACAATTTCTGTTGAACCAATCCTGTTTCCTGGTCCTTGATCTCTGTTTTGGTATGAATAATTGTGTGTCTCCATCGTATATTTCGCAAAATTTTCAATACACCTCATTT